GCCGCCCCCGCCACTACCCACCCCCGCTCGGCGCCAGACTCACTTCTCGCGGAAGGTCTCCTTCTCCTGCTCGCTCCACATGTTCATGACCTGCCGGTCCTTGTACACCTTCATGGGGTCGTCCATGAGCCCGTTCATGTTGATGAACTTGATGCGCTGCTGGTCGGCGTCGTACAGCATGGGCGGGATCACGGCCAGCTGCCGCATCTGCTTCTCCAGGTTCTGCCGGGAGACGGAGGAGGGGCCCGGTCAGCGAGCGCGCGACGCCGGGGACGGACAGGAGGGACAGGGACAGGGACCCAGGTGACGTGCGGGGAGACGGGGGAGGGGGGAGGTGGATGCTCCAGGTGAGAGTGGGAAAATGTGAGAGAGAGAGAGAGAGAGAGAGAGAGAGAGAGAGAGAGAGAATGATGAGTGAAAAAATAACAGTAGCCCGTGCCGGGGGAGGGGGATTTAAAGGCAGCCCCAGCTCTGGCCAGTATGGGTCAGTGGATAGAACGTCCACCTGCGGACTGAAGGGTCCCGGGTTCGATTCCCATCAGGGCACATGCCTGGGTTGTGGGCTTGATCCCCAGTAGGGGGCGTGCAAGAGGCAGCCGATCCATGATTCTCTCTCATCATTGATGTTTCTATCTCCCTCCCCGTCTCCCTTCCTCTCTGAAATCAATAAAAATATATTAAAAAGAAAATAGAAAAAGGCAGCCAGACAGGCCTGCGGTGGGCCCAGCTGTAAATTCGCTGCAAAGAGCAGCAGCCGCCCGCCCGCCGGGAGACGGGGCCGTGAATCTTCCACGGGAAACGCAGGCGTCAGAAGCCACCGTGGGGGCCAGCGCCTGGCCCTCCAGATGGCCGGGCGGGAGGCCAGAGGGCCCCTCCCCGGCTCCCCGACCAGACACCGGAAAATCCGGAATGGCCTCTTCTCTCCTCCCGGAGGAAGCCAGGACTCGGTGGCCGGCTTCCCCGCCTGGGATCCCGCCTCGGGCGGCTCGCAACGCTGGAGCGGCCGAACGCCCTCCTGTTCCAGACAGACCGGCTCTGGCCCCTCCCTCTCCCGCTCCAGGACATTTCCTCCCCTCTCCCCCCCAATCCTTTCTGCGGGGGTTTCTCCAGCGGAGACGGCCCCTAGGAGATCAGGAATGGAGCCTGGACATGTCCTAGGTCACCTGTCCACCTCCCCCCAATCCACACGTGTGTCCTTGGTCAACGATGACCTGGGACCAACCGTGACTGGGAGCCTCGCGACAGCTGAAGAGCGACGCACTGTTGCTCACCCAGTTTACAGATGGGAAAACTGAGGCTCAGAGACAGGGAGTGGCAGAGCCCTATGCCACCCACGCGTGACTGTCAAAGGCCCCGATCGCCCGAGACCAATCCCACTGAAAGTGAGCCTCAACCAGGACCACAGTCTGGGAAAGACGTGAGCCACCAAACGGGCTCAGCAGGCATCGGCCCGGCCCGGCCCCGCCGGTGCGTTAGCCGCGTGACCCAGAAGCACCTTTTTGGGGGGAAGACGGCGTAAACCCACCGAAACACCGACAACAGGGGGGGATCTAAATGCCTAACGCCACGGCAACGCTTACTAGCAGCCCCCCTGACTGCTCTACGGTCGCTTCACTGGCTGAAACGTGTCGCGCGCCTCCTACGGGGACGGAGGACTTGACTCCAGGGTGGAGCGAGCGCCCCTGTGGTCGCGAGGACCCAGCAGGAGCCACCGGGACCTGGGCTTTTCCGTCTCGGAGCTTAAACCCTAGACACGCCGCGGGAACTGCTCCCCACAGCGCTACTTCCTGCGGAGGCCTCGGGATCCGTGGGACCGGGGACCCTCCTCCTGCTCCGTCAAGTCCTGGTGTCCACACTGGCTGACCCGTCCGGCGCCCAACCCCTGACCTCCGACCCTGGGAAGGGCAGAGACTGCCCCAGGCCCGGCCCCACGTCTTAAAGGAACTGTCCTGCCCCAGGCCTTCCGCGCGGGTAGAGGTGGAGGCCAGTGGCTACACAGGGGCCGTCTGTTCCAGCCCAAGCCTCAGTTCCCTCCCTCCTGCCTGGGGGGGTGGGGGGGGAATAAGAGACACAAGAACATAAAGGGGGGGCGACGTGAAGACAAAAGGAGATGCAGTGGTCAGGCTGCAGTACAAGCCACGATGACAGGCACTGCTGGGAACAGTGGGAGCCGGGAGAGCGACACAGAAGGGAGCTGCACCGGCCCTGCCCAGCCGGCCTGGCTCAGGGGTTGAGCCTCGACCCCTGAACCAGTGGGGGCGTGCGGGGAG